GTCTGCGTCTGCATTCAGCCACAAGGCCACTGATAGTCACCATAAATATCAGCTGTGACATCGCAGTGACCACGGGGTTTCCTTGGGTATGTCCAGCGGAGAGTAAACGGATGTTTTCTGAAATCTTAGCACATGCCATCATTCCAACCGTGAAACCTCACAGGAATTCAGACTCAATTCGAAGAAATACATGCAAAACTTTCTTGGTGTTATTGTATACGAATGCTAAATAAGTTGCTTCAAAGGAGGAAATTCAATGCTACTGATAAAGGCGAAGTGCTTCCGTTGAAATTCCCGTCTAGAGCATCAGGCTTGAAGTCTTCATGAAAGTGAAAGATCGAGGAGGAACTTTGTCTGGTAGCTGCATCGTTTTTGAAACAGCTGCGATGGGGTTTATGGGTACTGTGGTTTTAATATGGAAAAACTCTCACGCAAACTATACCACGGGTTAAAGATGTTTCATGTTGCTTCTATTACAGTTACTTCAAATGGTATCTGACAGGCTGTATTGATATGTATAGACACTACTTACACAGAAGCTGGTCTGCTGTAGGGGAACAAAGTCTTTGTGTGGGCCCACTACCCACACTGCTAGTGACATAAAAAATTAAGTGTTCTGAATTTTCACCTTTATAAACATAATTCAGAGTTTAAATTCAGTTAAACGAACACACGTTGCAGTTGGATCCCATTTGCCTTCAGAACTGCTTTAATTTATCATGGCACAGATTCAACAAGATCCTGGAAACATTCTTTGGAGATTTTGGTCCATGTTGGTGCAATAGCATAACACAGCTGCTGCAGATTGGTCAGCTATACATGCATGACGTGACTCTTGTTTTCTACCCAAACAGTTGAGATCTCTGGAGGCCATCAGAGTACAGTGAACTCATTGTCATGTTCAAGAAACCAGTTTGAGGTGATCTGAGCTTTGTGACATAGGAAGTTTTCCTGTTAGAAGCAGCCATCAGTAGATGGGTACACAAGGTTCAGCATATTTTACTTTTAGAGATGCTTTTCTGCGTAACTCAGAGGTAATGACTGGCTGTTTGAGTTGCTGTCGCCTTCCCATCTGCTCCAAGCCGTCTGGCTATTCCTCTGACCTCTGGCATCAACAAGTCATTTTCACTCAGAGAACTGTCCCTCACTGGACATTTTTTCTTTTTTTGCAACATTTTCTGTAAATTCTGGAGATGATTGTGTGGGAAAAACCCAACAGATCAGCAGTTTCTGAAGTATTCAGACCAGCCCATCTGGCACCAGCATCCCTGCTACATTTAAGGTCACTTCATTATCTGATGCTCAGTTTGAAAATCAGCACGTTGCCTTGAACACGTCTATGTGCCTAAATGCATCCAGTTGCTACTATATAGTTTTTGATTAGACATTTGTAATTAACAACCCGTTGGACAGGTGTGCCTAATAAAGTGGCCAGTGAGGGTATTACTGTCACACGCGCTAACGAACCAGAAGACTGAATATGATAAAATGATTACTGCGTAGCAGAGACATCTTAATCTGAATAAAAACATTTGGATAATTACTCTGTGTTTTAGGTGTTTAAATTATGCTGAATGATTTTACTGTTTATGTAACAAATGCTGCCTCGTTTCTTCAGGATGTCTTTGTTAAAGCAGCATCCTACTTTATTTTGAATGTTTGTTCTCATTTATGTTTCCTGAAGACTCATCATGTCCTCCACACGTCAACCACATGATGTGTTTTGGGTTTTTTTTTTTCAAAGACAGATTTCTTTTTATATTGAAGAGCAACTTTGATATCAGTGTTGCTGTCTCCACCACGTAAGCATAAAAGTCACAGCCGGATGTAAGCGGTAGAATGGTTTTTGAATTCGAGGCTATCAGCTGAAGAAACAAGAAATTAAAGGCCAAAATCAACAATGAACTGAGGACAGATTTTATCTTGCTAGCAGCCTAATACTCAATAGATCTTTCCTTGAAATCATAACAGTCAGGAACAAAACCAGCTCCTTAATGCAGTGTAGATTTCCATTGTGCCACTAAAATAATTCTGAGTGGAAATCTGGGAGTCCACCAAATCCTTTGGGGATTTGAAATTGAAACCTGGGGGTCATTTGGACTCGTGGGCTCTTCTTGGTCTTGATGGAGAGAGGCAAGATTGTGGCAAGGGGTGGATGAATCAAAGTAACATTGTAACAACAAGGTCAGTGTTACTCACGTTGCCAGTCAGTGCTGTATGACACTGTGACTGATATGTTTAAGTTTTCACTTCAACAACAACTCAAACTTATAAAGTCACACTGTTGCACTAACTGACACATTTCATAGTTATTTTTTTTTTGTTATGCCATTCAGCACTACATCCACTCACTGAGCACCAGATATTCAGGTGAACATGCCAAATACGTCTGCTATTTATTTACTATCATTTATTTACTATAAGAGTACTATTTCCTAAAAGCCCAGGTTTTCATATAAAAAAATCTATTCTTATCATTTCTTTAGAAAAAATGATTTCACAGCTAAATTTATTGTATTCATGGCGATGCTGTTTTTTTCCCCCATGTTGACATTTCTCTGAGTCAAAATGACTTTTCCGATGTTATCGTTAAAAATATTAAAATACTCTGAACTTTACATCATCTGAACCTTACGCAAAAGAAAATTAGACCACCTGATCACTACCTTCTCACATTGACCAAATATGGATCAGTTCACATAGCAGCTTCCTGTTCATATTAAAAATAATCTAGTGGTTACCCACAACAAAAGACTAGATCAGAGTGTGACAGTGAAATAAAAACACCGTTTTTTTATGACTTCAAAAAATTTCAGTTCTATGTCAAATTTCCTGATTCACTCAAAACAGGAACAGAAGTAGGTCTTCCTATTTTTAGACCTCCCAGACGTAAACTGAAACGTGGCTGCTGTCAGCGTGTGAATAATAGCAGTAGGCACATTTGATTCTTCTTTACATAATACCTTATTTAGACTGACATTTTGATAGAAGCGGAAATTTGAGATTCAACTCCTCCTCCACCTCCTTAACATAAAATTGAACAAAACAAAAAAACAATTCAGCATCAGAAGAAAGAAAATGAGTAGGAAGGCGATGATAGGTGATTCTGATTTTTGAGGGGGAATTCATTTCACCAAAGGCCAACTGCTGACATATAAATGTGAGAGGGGATTTCAGATTAGACTGTCGAGTGTTAAATCATGATGAAATGCAAATTTGTTATGACTGTGTGGCTGTTCGGTTCCACTCGATAACAAAAGGCTCAAAAATGCTGACATTTAGAAACACAAAGAAAAATTTGTGCCAAATCTCCCCAAACGTCAGTCACTCTTTGCACTTGTGGTGGTTGGTTTGGATCCATGCATGAGAATCCCCATTCTGCTCCCCTCTCACATTTGACCCCTTACTTTGTCTTCGCATCAGCTTATCCAAAGAATGGGAGGCTGAATGGAGAGTGAGGGCGAGGCTTCAGAGAGAAAATCACTGAGAACTCTCTGAATGACCACTTAGAAAGAAAGAGAAAGAAAGAAAGAAAGAAAGAAAGAAAGAAAGAAAGAAAGAAAGAAAGAAAGAAAGAAAGAAAGAAAGAAAGTTGGGCAGGTGTTTGAGATGCTTCAAAATAGAGTATGGTATGTATGTGTTGTGCACACATGTGTGTGTGTGTGCTGTGTGTGTGTGTGTGTGTGTGTGTGTGTGTGTGTGTTTGGAGAACGATGAGGCCAGACCAGCGTGATGGAAAGCCCAGCCGACTGCTAACACAAACATAGCAGGGGGAGAAGAAAGGGAAGAGAAGGGGGAGGAGGGTGTGGAGGTGGGAAAAGTTGGGGGAGGAATGACTCGGAGGAAGAGTGGCTTGTGTCGGGTTAACAACAATGACAGCTGTCATTAAGATAGTGATGTAGGCCAGTGCTGATGACCAGGGCAGAGGACCTGTTTACACTGGAGTCCATTATCAAGTTTGCTCAGCAGTGAATACCTCTATTTTTTATGCCCTCTGGTCACCACGAAACCGTCGCTGTCACCTTCAGCCTGCAGAGAGGAGAGACTTGAGCCTGGGCAGAGAGAGAGAGAAAGAAAGAGACTGCGTGGAAGCTGCTTTTCAGGGATGTTTCACACACTTAGAAAACAGTGGGGTGTGTGTTTGCATCATTATCATAATTGGGGGTGACTGCTTGGAGTGTGGACGGGGAGGTGTCAGCACTCCAAAAATTCCCATTGGACAAATTATGTGAATGAATGGATGAATGAATGAGAGGAGAGGCCGGCTGGGTCTGCTCCAGGCTCCTGAGCAACAGATGGAGGCCAAAGAAGAGCAGATAAGCGCGATCTTATTGCTGCGCATTGGCGCATTCACCGTCGCTGTTGAGGCCAGGAGCCAAGACAAGACTGGAATCTCTTTCTTTCTTTCTTTCTTTCTTTCTTTCTTTCTTTCTTTCTTTCTTTCTTTCTTTCTTTTACCTTGAAGACCCCCACCAGATACGAGCAGGCCAAAGATGGTCTGGGTTGCTAGTGTTTTCTTGCTCCGTGGCTGTTTTCCTCGTGGATAAAACGTTCAGTTATTTACTAAGTACTTTTGGCTCTCTTCAGCGAAGCAGCCGGCGAGGAGGTTACTCTATGTCACTGGAATCTGCGCACAATGGAGTCAGACCCCCGCACCCCGTCACCTCCCCCTGCAGCACCAGCCTGTGAACCCCTCTGCGAGAGCTCTGGTTTTAACTGACCCCCCCCCAACTACCCCACACTATCATCCATCCACGCAGGTCCTCGCGCTCAGCGGTCCCCCTTACGGCTCCCTTAAGAAACAACAAAAACACCAGCGCTACACTCGGAATCCACCGCAACTCCTCCTTGTTCACCTCTCTTCCTCCTCTCCTTATTTGGGTCAGCCACCCCCCCCTCTCCTCGCTGTCTCTCTCTCTCTCTCTCTCTCGCTCTCTCTCTCTCTCTCTCTCGCTCTCTCTCTCTCTCTCTCTCTCTCTCTCATACGTACAGCGGCGTGGTTACCATGGCAGTGGTTAAAACACGGTTATTCTCCTGCTCTCGGCGTATGATGTTCACTCAGCATGATGTTGGTTGCGCGCCGGCTGAGCGCTGATTGGCTCTCCCGTGTGTAACTCCTGCGTGTGCTCTGTCCCGGGATGAGACTTTTACCATCAGCTGTGAGGCGAAGCTGTGAGAAGCTCTCGGAGACGCGTCGCACACCTGCGGCTGGGTGGAAATAGATGGAGGTGACTCGCACTCCGCCGATTGCTTCACCTCCTCTCGTGGCCCACGGGGGAGCGCGCTTGTAAGCTGATTTGACCGGTCGATGTGAATGCCTCTCCGGGATTAGAGGGCTATTTGGGTGAACCACGATGTCCCGCGGCTTGGGCCAGCACTCACGGTTATTGTTCATGCGCCGGCGAACGCACGGTGTCCGGTCTCCCCCGGTTCATCTCCAGTAGCCGTACAGCTCCGCTTCCCGTGTCTCCTCGCTGCTTGGCTCCGGTCTCCTACCCGGTGTGGACAGAATAATATGACTTCCTGGCTACGCACATACGACAGCGCCTGTCTGTGCCTCCTGCTCTGCTGTTTGGTGGTCGCTTTCAGCGGAGAATCCTTCAGTGCCGGTGAGTGGAGGCTCATTGGGGGCTAATTACATCCCATCTCAGCAATTAGCCTGCATCTTGTAGCTATCACTGTCAAGCGATCATTAGCGTCCCCCACATCCCACATTCTCTGTAGTCTCTGCAGGAGGTCACGCAAAAGACTCGTAATGAGCATTTGTTTCATGTGGAGGAGTTACAAACTAGTTATTGATGAGAAGTAATGACAGCCTCACTGCAGTAGCAGGTAACACTCCAGCCCTCTTTGTTGAGCACATTACCGAACATTTAAAATGAGAAGTTAGGCGATTAACCTTCACAGTCTTTTTTGCCAGAGGCCAAGATTTTTAACTGGGTGAGAGTGCGCTGTTAGTGATGCTCAGACCTGCAGCTTTTCTCCTTTTGTCCTACATTACAACCTCACTGAAGCTCCCTGGAGAATAACTCTGGAAAATTAGATTCCAGCAGATAAATCACTACACTAATTCCACTACAAAAAGCCTTTCTTTGTCACTCAGTAAAGTCTGAATCCTTACTGTATTTTTTTCTGCAAACCTTGCATAGACATATCCTGTTTGAGTGCCTAGTTATGGACTCCCTACATATGCACATTCTCACTAAATGATTGACTAATTAGATGTGGTATGGATGTGTGTATTGGTGTTGGGCGAGGGGTTACTACTCCAGCAAATCCAGTACCTGCTTCCAGATGGTGGCTGATTTGTGCTGAACAGCCTCTTATGAGATGCTAAGTGGTGCTCCTATCATCAGAAGTGTCTAATGTCCACAGGGGTTCAGCTGCATGGCTAATAAGTGTTGACACACACATTCTTTCATATGCTAATCTCAGATTCTTCCCTCCTCCTCTTGCCGATCTTTTTTCTTCTTCCCTGCAATCATTTCTCTCTCTCTGCCTCCTCCACCTTTCGTCCTCCCTTCCTTGAGCAGGTGACAGCGTGTGTCGGTCTCCTGGCATCACCTCTTGTACAGACTGCCTCAGCCGTGGGCCACAGTGCGCCTGGTGTTTCGAAGAGGTAGGAATGCGTACGAACGTGTGTTTGTGTGTGTCAGAGACAAACGTGGCAGGCATTGGACAGCATTCCTCAGATGACACGAACCAAAGCTTTGATCCAGTCCACAAATGTGAATATAATATGCACGTTAGAGCTCGGCGGCCTGCGTTATGACTCGTGTGAGTTGCGCCGGCCGCCCGTGTGAATGTTTCCATGCACGTTTTCTCAGGCAGAAAGCAGAGACAGAGCCACTTTTCCATCCATGTGTTTAGTCTCCACACACTTACACATATTGCTGCTTCCGCCCATGCCTCTATCTGTCTGTGTGTCGGTCTGTCTCGTAAAGAGCCCACCCCGAAACAGACTTGAGGAGCTGTAAAGCTTTCTGGTGCCACACCAGTAACAACACACAGATAGAAAATACCAAACCAAACTGTCAGCATGTGTGCATTTACAGACTTCAGGTGCTTTCCCACCCTGTAAGTCCTACACTTCTTGACATCATCAAGTGGGGCTGGGTTCACTGGTGTGTGTGTGTGAGCCCTCAAACATTACCTCCTACACACACAGAGACACACACACACATACAAGGTCATATAAACTCACAGAGCCATGCTTGGATAAGTATTAAACAGTGCCGGTCTTGTTAATATGCATGTTCACATTTGGCTGTTAATATTCAGAGTCCAGTGAAAAGACAGACTGTGTAAGGAAAGTCCCAGAAAGTCAGTCTGAAACTTTTTGGCATTCAGAGTTGTTACAGGGCAAATTATAGCCACAGGGAACACCATAAATACACACAATCCAGTCCAGGTTTCAGGTTCAGGTCCTGGTCACATAGTTTGCTACAGTTTCAGGTTCTATTGTAGACCACGGTTTTCCTCAACTGCGTGTTCTTTTAAAAATTTTTCACTCTTTCATCCCTTATCTGTTTCCCCCTCATGCTTTTTAAAAAATGACTGATCTCAGTCTGGCCCATGACAGATTAATTACAGTGTAAATACACATATTTAGGGGTGTAATTTTACGGGGGGGGGGGTTTGTGCCACACTGTATTTGTGAGTTTTTTTGCTACAGTACCAAAGGTCACTAAGCCTCTCCAAAGCTATAAGGCATGACACTGTTACATTCTGCCGTTGTGGCAGCTGACTATTAGGAGAACTTAATCAAGAATCTGAAGACAATAAGGGCATCTAATCACATTTTGAACTGTCCAAACTAACACTGAGCAAATGTTGGAATACACGGAGAATAAATCCGGAGTAAATCCAAACAGGCACCTCCACCTGGTACTTGAAACTGATGAGTAATTTCAAGGGTCCGATAGCAAAAAACAGTCATGGCTCTCATGTCGGGGTAACTCCATCAAAAATCAATACAAGTACACTGAAAGCAATCAGAATGAAAAATGAAACCACTGATTAATTGTGAAACTGGTTTCAGTATAGCATGTTTCCCTGAGTGGAATAAACGAGGGAAGGCTTTGCACGTCTGTGACATCAGGCAGGTGCGCAGGAGAAAGAGAAACGGATCAAAAGTTGCCCAACGGCTCCTGAAGTGTTGCAAGTAAATCCTTTTTTTTGAATGTTTGTCAGTGTGCAGGAGTCTGCAGCATGTGTGAAGCGAACCGCAGAGTCTTTCACTACATACTTCACAGTGAGCAAAGGTTAAAAAATTAACTAATGGGTTAAACATTAACTAGATTACAGCCTTTAAACACAGAGTGTTAGGCGTACATTTTTGAATTGATGGAGACGATGGAGACGTCGGCACAAGTGTAGAGAAAATCTATAATTTTTCTTCTGACCTTGAAATTGTTTACTCTCGCTCTTGCTCCAGACGGGCTGAAGGAGATGTGCTCATCATACAGATGAGATTACAGCGAAAACATGGCTTCCTTGTATGCTCTGTTTATAGAGTTTAAAATTGCAAGTGAGCTATACCCTACAGACTTTTGTGATATTGTGCATGTGGAAAAAATGCTCTCCTATATTAAAATTTATAATGTTAAATAAAATTGATGAAATTCAAACATGTTGTTTTTTGAAACATACACTTCATTTGAACTTGTAACCAACTAACTGGGGAACATATCCTACGTAATTTTGATAAAGGGCAGTACGTCTTTAACAGCACTCTGAAGCCATTATTACCTTTTATTATTTGCAGTATATAAAATAATGTAGAACCCAGAGAAATCTGTGAAAGCAAAGGGGAAAGAAAGGCTGAAATCCAACATTGAACGGCCTTGATTTGTTGCCCTCAGGCAGCACTCAATTACACAGTGGAAATCACTGAATGGCTTTTGGAGCACTTTTAAAACCAACGTCAGCCAACAAACAGACCGTCAATGTATGCACACTTATCCACAATGAAGAGGAGAAAAAAGGATTTATACAAGATGCAGAAATACAGTTACAATGGGTGGGCCCAAGCTCATTTAGGAGGGTGCAAAATTGACCAAACAAAAGTCCTTTTGGAAATCAAGGACGCGGCCTCCTGTGGGCTGAAGAAGAGACAGACCATCTCAACCCCCGCCATCTGTTATTTGTATTCATTAGCGCACATGTCGTGAGTGACTTACATGTGCAAAGGCACCGTTAATATTCAATATTACAGGCTTTGAAGTCACATGTGCTCTCATTGTTGTTTAATAAAAGAAGGCTTTGCTTAATTCGTCAAGATAATGCAAAATGAGTCCTCTGTCACCTTTTGGAGACATTTTTACCTAAAGTGTTGTTAGCGTTTTGTTGGAAGTGAATTTGCTTTTTGGAACAAAAACAATGACATTTCAGGTTGTATTATGTTTTTGCTGTTTTCAACGACACGTTTAAATTATTTGCTCATCCGTCCATTCCCACATCACCTGTGACGAAGCTTTTGCAGATGAATTTACAGTGAAGGTGAAGACTGAGACAAAGTATGGTGGAAGCAAGAGGTGTTTATTTGCCCACATGTATCTAACGCCATGACAGTTAGTGGTAGATCAAGCTTTCCAACAGCAACAACAATCTCTTGTCTAATGACAAATGGCAGCTTTAAATACTCTCAGCTGTTTAGGACTAAACCATTATTTACTCCCAGGTGAGTTTACCAAATTGTAGCATTCCACCTTCTATATACAATACACAATCTGAGTTAATAAATAAATACATTTTATCATTCTCTGATAATTAAATATGTTATATTTTAACCTTATACCTTAACCCTATTAAAAAACCGCCAAAAACCCATGTATAGAGATTTCTCGCACCTCCTTAACCCATGGCCTCTCCTGGAACCTTTAAATGTCCGGACCACTGGGGAAATATTTGCCCAAACACCCTGGAGAGGACACAGAAAAGGTCTTTGCACCAACACTTTTACCTGTAGACTTTAAACACACACACTTGCTTAAGTTTTACTTGGCAGTAGACCTTATTTGCTCCCAGTAACAACCTTTCCTCACAGACAACCACCACACTTCTCAGTGAGGAGCAGCTGTGCAGGACCTGGAGCAAAAGGCCACCTGCTAATTATTAAATAACTCAATAAATATTCAATAAATAATTAAACCTCTTGTGTGCAAATGGTTATTCATGTGCAAGTCTATCCTTAAAGTGCAGTGCTCAATAAAGTGCTTTTAATAAAGTGCAAAGGTGCTTCTAAAGTGTGCAAGTTACCACAATACAAATTATACTAGTAAGGAAGCCCTCTTCCTTACATCATCCTAACTCGTTTTAGATACAGGGTTGGATTTTAAAACCAGCATATTTTGAATGAAGGGCAAACTGACCATTTTGAACTTTATGTTTTCACCTGTAGGGCTTTCTAGATGGGGCGGGGCTAAGTCAGCGCTGTGACTTGCCAGTTAACCTGCTCAGGAGGGGCTGTGCACTGGAGTTCATGGAGCAGTCAGAGGTTAAGGTGGAGGTCAACGCCACCATCAGCAGCACACAAGTTTCCCCAAGAGACATCAGCATCACCCTCAGACCAGGTAGATGACGTGATAACTTGGGTTGGGCGTAAAAACGATCAGACTCTCTTAATAATGTGTTCAGTATGCAGAAAACACACCATTGCAGCGATAGTGTATTATTTTGTGTGCCCAGCAGGGCAGTTTGTGAATGTGCTGAACACCAGTGCAATATCAGAAAATAAGAATGTTCTTGCGGGAAAGAAAAGGAACAAAATGTGAAAAATCTCACCTTCTTTAAGGATCAGGCCATAAGACCTCATCCACATCACATGCGGTGCTGTATTTAGTAGCTCAGCAGCACAGCGAGTACTGCCTGCAGCGCCGTATGGGAGCATACAGCACCAAGCGGTGGGTGTTCAAATTTCCACTGACTAAAAGTGTTAACAGTTTCCGAGATGGGTGCTTCAAGAATCACTGTTAGTGTTTAAGCCTTCAGGAAAAAAAACTATAATAAAGGCATCATTGTGGAGAAATGGTGCCCTAAGCACTAAATGAAGTCACAGTCCCAGTGTGAGTGTGTGTGTTGTATTCTGAGCTTTTGGTAGCTGGTTCGGCTGCTGCGAATAGCAGTGCAGTTAGTCCCCTTCCACTGAAATCGCTGTCCTTCCTTGTAATTACACACACATATATAGATGAGCAGCAAAGTGAGAGTAAAGGGAAGATGCCTTGCAGTCCGGACAGTTCAGCCAACCTCTACCTAACAAATGTTTCACTGCATCTCTGCTTCACGTAGATGCTGGTGCTGCAGTGCACCATGTAGTATTTTTGAACTTTTGCTCATTGCAGTTTATGTTGTGCGTGTGTGTTTGTTTCTAGGTTCAGCGGCCAGTTTCATAGTGTCGGTGAAGCAGCTGGAGCGTTATCCCGTGGACCTGTACTACCTGGTGGATGTATCGGCTTCTATGCAGGAAAACCTTGATCAAGTAGGTTTGAAAATGCTTGTCTGTCACTCTGCTGCTCAGTGAGTCAGTGAGGATTTGTTCCACGCCTTCTTCTTGAAGGTTCTATATATAAATATAGCTGCAAGGACTATTTGCTGTGTAAAAACATAATTAAGTCAAGGCTTGCATAAATGAGAAGTCTCACCAGGATCTATAAACAGTAAGTAGGCCCAGTGAGATGGACACTGACTTTATAACTACTACAGATTAAACTTTTTTTAAATGAAGCAGAGGAAATGGGAGGTAAATCAGCTTCTTTTTTTGTCTATTGTGCCTGATTTATTCTGGATCATCTTCCAAATCTTCTTATTTAATATCCTCTTGCACGCCTCCTTCTTTTGCTCTTCCCTTCTCGCCTGCTGCTCTTTACCTGTCCTTGTTCTACCTCTCTAACCTGCTTTCTGCGTGCTGCACAGCTGAAGACGGTGGGTGTAGCTCTGTCCCTTCGTATGACGGAGCACTCCTCAGACCTTTGGCTGGGTTTTGGCTCATTTGTGGACAAGCCTGTTTCTCCTTACATCAACGTTCATCCTTCGAAGATCCACAATCCCTGCAGGTAAGATCATTTGTTAGCTAGAGTCGGCAGATACAATGATACACTCGAAGAGGGATGTCATCATTTCAGTGATCATGTAAAAAATATATACAAAGATGCATAATTTAGCTTTTTAGTTGCTTGGGGGAACATTGTCATCAGGATAAGCTGAGCATATAACAAATAGCTCTGCAGTTCCAAATCTTGCAAACAGGACCTCATTTTTTAATTAATTAATTTATTTTTTGTCTCTCACAAGTGATTTTGAAATACGCTGTCGACCAGCCCACGGCTTCCACCATGTCCTTAGCATGACGAGCAATATGAGCGAGTTTACGCGGGTGATCAAGCGCCAGCGCATCTCTGGAAACATGGACACACCTGAAGGAGGACTAGATGCCATGCTGCAAGCTGCGGTCTGCCAGGTGGGCATTTGTTCATATGTAGTTTGCGTACATGAATGCATATAAAACTCCCTCAGAGGCTGTTAGTGACGTATAGTGATGTGTTTTAACAGCACAGGACCAATTAATGTAGTTTTTCCACCCTTACTCGATTGTGCCGGCTCAACCCTGCATTCTCATAATTGTTGTTGTTATAATCCATCAGATGTATTAGTTTAGGTTGCAGAAATAATCAAAGGCTTCCCTAAAACAATATCATCTACATGGCAACATGTGTCACTCCATAGCCTGTCTATATTGCCTCCACAGTGCAAGTTACCCTAATGCTCACTACATACCACTGAGACTTCTGGCTTTTGAAATGTGTGTTAATAACAAGCTCCTCTTAATTCAAATCATTATTTGGTAAATTCACCTTTGGATGCTGTCACAGCACTGAGCCTGTGTGGACAGGTCTGAGTCATGGTGGCACATCTGGACACTGCAATTGTACACCACTCCTCTTTGCAAAACTCCTCAAGCTCTGTCAGGTTGCACAGGGTCAGGCATGAACAGTGCTTTTCAAATTCTCCATTGGCTTGAGCTCTGGGCTTCGATTCAACCACTCCAAAACACTCACCTTGTTGACTTTAAACCATTTCCGTCTAGCTCGTGCCTGAATGCTTTGCGTCTTAGGTTCGCGTCTTAGGTTGGAATTCTCTTGGAGACTGAATCAGATGGTCTTTCAGGATTTATCTATCATTGCTGTATTCATTTTATGTTTTGCCAGAGATGGTGTGTTTGCCAAAATATATAGAATGTCTGTTGCTACCTTAACAAAGTGTCTAGTGTGATGACTTAAAAAGTTGATTTTGGTCTCATCAGACTAGAGACCCCAGACTCCCACATGCTTTTAGATGAACTTATCCCCTCTCTTCCATAAAGCCTGAGCAACATCTCAGGTGCTGAAGCTTTTAACTCCTTCAGAGTAGTCATAGGTGTCTTCGTGGCCCCCACCTTACTGGTGTCCTTCTCACACAGGCACTGTTTGTGAGCACGGCCTGCTTTAGGCAGATTTACACATGTGCTGTTTCTTCCAGTGATGACGAATTTAACTGAACTCCAGGGGATTTTCAGTGACTTGTACGCTGACCTATAGTTTTCCTAATCTTTTCCCCGACTTGCTTGGAGCGTTCTTCTGTCCTCATGGTGTAATTGTTGCCAGGAATACCGATTAACCTTGACTGAATCTTTCACACACAGGTGTCTTTATACTACAGTCACTTGAGACACATTCACTGCACTTTGGTAATCTGCACTTCATTAACTGTGAAACTACAATTGGCTGGAGCTCTGTTGAATTAGTTCAGTTACTTTAAAGGGTTTGAATATTTATGCAGTGACTTATTTATTATATATTTATATATTTTTGATTAATGTTGATTAATTTAGCCCTGTGTCGAATTGGCGACTTGGTGTATCCCGCCTCTCGCCCTATGGTAGATAGACTAGATAGATAGTCTATCCACCACCACGACTCTGATAAGAATAAACAGAGAATGGATGATTAATTTCCTCTACTTTACAGTTTCTTTAGTGAATTCTTAAAAAGCCAAATTATATTGACCCTGATTCCATTCCAGCCAAGTGGTAGATTAGACGCTGTATATGTAAATCTAAGGGGTGTTTTCTAATTGTAAGTAGGTGTTAAATCTGCAAATTTAAAAGAAGCGTTTACTCTTTTCTGGAAAAATAGTGGCACCCTGAAAGCAATGCATATTGCCACAGGAATCCCACTAAGTATTAACTCCACATGTGGGGTATGGCAGACACACACACTGAGATTCACAGTTGCTTACATTATAGCTTCTGTGGGGGTTATGTGTCACACCATGCAGGGGGCCCCTGAGTAGCCATGTCGGAGAGAAACACCACAGTGGTCATCAGTTTAGAAATAGACTCCATTATGCCAGGCCTACTCACTAAGTTTCCCTAAATACACACACACGTGCACACTGGCCCATTTTCTCACGCTGAGAGAAAGGAGTCACTGTATGAGTCACAGACATAAAAATCGAGACTCCCGGTTCTTTATTTAATTGGACATTACAGAAAAGACTGATCATCACCGAAAATAATCCAGTTCACATGTGTAAAATGTTTCGCCTTGCATTTTTTCCCACACTTGTAAATCCTTAAAATGTGATGCATGCACATTTTTCCACATCACTCCGTCATGATTTAAAGGAATAACAAAAACCACTCTGCAAAAACAGGCTGCAGAGATGTTCAATAGATCTCTGCTTGTGTTTGAATTTTTTTGGTATTAGGATGAAAATATGTAAGTTTTGCTAAATTAATGGCCAAAAATAACATTGCATGTTGCCTTCCTTCTGCATTTTAGAGGGCTGTTGGTTGGAGACCAGAGGCGAAGCGTCTGTTGCTCCTGATGACCGACCAGCCTTCTCACCTCGCCCTGGATAGCCGGCTGGCAGGGATCGTTGTGCCACACGATGGTCTGTGTCACCTGGAGGACAACGTCTACAAAGGCAGCACCAGGATGGTGAGGAAACTTGCAAAAGCTAAAGCATCAAACTTTAAGCTCACATAATCTCACTTTAATGTGGACCAGATGAATTACTACAGGCTTTGAGGTGACAGGAGGTTTACTTTGCTTTTCAGGACCATCCCAGTTTGGGTCAGTTGTCTGATAAGCTCCTTGAAAACCATATCTACTCCATCTTTGCTGTGGAAAAGCAGCAATACCAGTGGTATGAGGTAATGTGCCCCTACACGTGCACTTAGTAATATACTGAGAAGGCATACAATCAGCCACAGATTCTCAAGTTTTGACTCATACATATCTTGCTCATTTCAGGAGCACATTTGAGAGGGGAAGATTTTTAAAAGCATTACGTTTTTCTCTACTCTCGTCTCCCTTTCCTTTTCCAGGAGCTGATACATCTGCTACCTGGCTCCTACCTGGGAAAATTAGGCCTCTTCCAGGCTCCGAATCTCATAGACCTGGTGGTGGATGCATACAAGGTACAAAGCACTCAGCTACACCTCCCCTCGTAGGCTCTTTGTCCTCTTTGTAGCGTCTTATTCATTCTTTGGACAAAGACGGGAACAAGTGAAAGGTGGGAGAGACGAGAAGAGCAGCACTGTGAGAGCTGGAATCACAACCCCACACATTCCTGGCTCAGAAATGTTGAGACAAAGTTTGCTGCCGGTCTGCTGAAGCAACACAAACTTTTGTTGTTCTCCTTGACTTGTTGAATCATGCGGACTGAGTAATAGCGCATGTCCTGTTTGAAAAGTGCGTCCTGTTTATGTGTACCCCAGAAGTTGAAGTTTGAAAACGGGGAATGCAAGAAAAATCTTAAATGATCTCAAACTTAAAGTGCTTAAGTTTGGGGAAAATTGATGATGGGGAGAGACCTAAAGCCTGAAGAAAGAAAAACAACAACAGGAAACAACACGGACGAGAACTTGAGGTTACGGAAGGTTAGGTTTTGTATGTGTGTGTGTGGGTGAGTGAGACTCACCACGGGGTTAATTCTGTTGGCAGAGTATAATCTTGCCTCAGGCACAGCGCTCCATTGTTTGCTTCGAGAATCTGCCGAATCCACAGAATCGGGTGCGCAGCCACGCATACGTGCCGAAACACACACACATACACAAACAGCGCCGCCTGAACAGAAGCTGGCATTATAATGGCTATCAGATCCCCACAGAAACCATGTGTCCTAATCAGAGAGGGACACAAAGATGCTATTTTCGGCCCCACCTCCTTGTTCCCATAAATCCCTGTATTTCAGGAAGAAAGAGAGGGCGACAGTAAGGGCTTTCAGGCAACATGTGACAACTTTGATTAATGAGCCTCTTTTCCCCCCCTTTCTTTCGTCATTGCTGTTCACTCACACAGATTACGTTCATTAAAATTTCAAGCTGTTCCTAGCATTCCCTTTTATCTTAACCTACATTGCTTTGTAGTCAGCACAGTAAGCTATGATAAGTTTCTTTATATCAGGCTCTCAGTGTAATGCTGCTTGTCTCTCTGTTTTCGATGTGCCCAGAGGTTGTTATCAGAGGTGGTGGTGTCTGTGTCGGTGGAGGACAAGGCGGTCAGCAGGTACTGGGTGTCTGTAACTCCTCTCTGCCCCGATGGATCCACTGCTGCAGAGCACAGTTGCACGGGGGTGCAGCCCGACCAGACGGTAAACACCCAGCAGCGTCAGAGCCACCAGAGATGTCACAAGGCATATATTAGTTGTATCAGATTACCCTGACATACACAAACGCCCTCGCACTGAGAGCTTTACGTGACAGAGAAGATTTGGTAAATAATCCGAGCTGAGCGGATTACACGGACTGTATTTTAGAGGAAAACATTTCCATGTGATTTCGCGACCTTTTCCTCCAGAAATCCCTACCTCACCTAACACGAGAGCCTCGATACAGACAAATAGGACATTTATATTTAGAATGAGGTCATTGGACTTGTACTCCTTAATACCTGTTCTGTTATCCAGCAGAGAAAAAGAAACCTTCACCAGTGCCGAGAGCACTTTTTGATATTTCTCAGCTGTGCACGGTAGTTTTTCTACTTAAGCAGCATGACTTTATCAGAGGTTACTGTAGCTGTAGCAGCCAAAGAGACCTTTGCTTTGGCACTAATTATAGCATCTTCAGTGCATTTGGGAATGATTTTACTCCCCTTAGCTTCCTGCGAGACTTCTTTCATCACATTTTGGGGTTCTAAACTTTTATTGAACCTCGGCATACTAAATCACTGCTCTACAGAGTTACTCCACTGTACAAAGAAACTCAGGCCTTTTAATCTGTGGGTGGATTAGAGACGAATTATGGAAACAATTACCAGAATGGAGATAAAAATCAATAGAAAGGCTGACTGTGAACTCAAAGCGTTGGCATGCGCAACTTTCCACATCAGCCAACAGAATAATTGTTCAAATTCAGCCTAAGAATCCATTTTTCTGTCCAACTGTTTGAGCTGTTAGGGATTTCTGTAATCATGCAGCGAGATTTGGCTTATTCACACCTTTTAGATTTACAGCCTCAGTTTGGTGCAGAAAAATGATTTCTGTATAATCCACATCGCTGTGTAAGTGTAGAGGATGTTTAAGATAGTCTCTCTGATGTAAATGTCTATGTCAGCATGCTTACAACAATACTGAGGGCCTGAGTTTAGCATGTTAACTAATGAGGATGGCATGAGATGTGGTCATTTAGTCGTGAACAAAAGTAGTGAAGAAACTGGAATTTCTACCTGCTGTTGCTAGGCAAACAAGACACTCTATCACTAAATCGATGAGGTTCATAGCATAAAATATTACGGTAGTTCTTTTTGAACTGGGCCATGGTGGTGCACCAGATGACCAACTGACCTTGCCGCCCACATAAATATACAACTAGAACACAGCTCTATCCCTCTTTCAACATCCCCTGCTGCGCTTTATAAACATATTTGTTTTATGCAGGTCTACTTCAATATCACAATTGGCCAGCACTCCTGTCCTGATGACGGTAAAGATGAAGATGTGACAGTCATGGTCCGTCCCGTGGGTTACAACGAATCCACTGTTGTGAGGATCCGCTCTAAATGTCAGTGCACATGTGGACCGGCGGGACAGTGCCGTGATGCCAACGCGTCACCATGCAAACAGACCCAAAATGGCAACAATCAGGAGGAGAGGCCGAACTACGGGATGATGAAGGACTCGGATTCAAACAAGAACTGCAAAGCAGATGGGTCTGATGTGGTCTGCAGTGGCCGCGGAGTGTGCGAATGTGGGAAGTGTGTTTGTGAGCAGAGCAGGCTCGGTGCAGTGTACGGGAAATACTGCGAATTAGACGACTTCTCCTGCCCTTACGAAGGAGGGCTGCTGTGTGGAAGTAAGCGGGGCACACTCTGAAAATTAGTTCATAGTGATACTGCTAATGTCAAGATGACTAGTGCACGATTTTTCTTCGTTAACTTCTCTAATGCCTTTTCCTCTCATCTCTCTCTTGTCTCTCAGGTCGGGGTGTGTGTGTGCTAGGTGAATGTGTGTGTGAGGATGGATGGACAGGCGATAGCTGCAACTGTCCCGTCTCCACAGCAACCTGCCAGTCATCAAATGGCTTGCTTTGCAGTGGGAGAGGGAAGTGTGTGTGTGGTAAGTGCGTGTGCGACAACCCCCAACACTCCGGAGACTTCTGCGAGCGTTGCCCTGCGTGCCAAAGCACCTGCCAATCATACTGGTAATTAGCGACTTATATTTAGTACCACAAAGCACAATGGGAGCTCCGACAGATCGAGCTGTATGCTTGAAGTTGAAACTGTAGTGATTTGTTATTTCTGTTTGCGTTGCTTTGCCTCTTAGGACGTGTGTGGGCTGCCACCTTTCTCATGGTCTGACCCAAGAAGAGGCGGGACAGTGCAACCACACCTGTGCACCGCTGGTCGGCTACATGGATGACATGTCAGGTAGAGCTGGTGTGATTCAATTCAATTTTATTTATATCGCACCAAATCAAAACGACTGTTGCCTCGAAGTAAATAATAGAGAGAAAACCCCATCATATGACCCCATATGAGCGAGCACTTGGCGACAGCGGGAAAGAAAAACTCCCCTTTAACAGGAACAAACCTCCAGGTTCAGGTTTACATATTTGTAGTTTTGTGGACACTAAAAAAGTTTTTTTCTTTAATTGAAGCTACGACAGATTTAGCTGTTTTTAATAAAAGCCTTGGCTCAGTTTGAATTTGCTCTTGGGTTTGAAATATATTACTTTGTATTTACTATTTAACAAGCAACCCTTAGAGCTGCTTGTATTCATCTTTTTTTGGTAAGTTTGGCAATCTATAAAAGCAACATTGACAAGTTACACGAAGTGCTGTTGCACATGTTGGCAGTTTATTGCCTGCATTTTTGAGCCAAAGCCATTTGGTTATTTGGAAACAGAGCGACAGATGGATTTCACTGAGAGCTGAGCATACTGCATGATAGCAACATGTCAATCACAAGGTAGCCCCGAACTAAACCACATCCTGTTTTAACACCTATTATACCTTAAATAATACAATCATTGAAAATGAATGAAATGAAAAAAGAACACCATGTTTTATTAAGTATGACTTAAAACTGTCTTCAGGGGCCATAAACTCACAAGGCAAGCATTTGCTGAAGTCATAAAAGAAGTGGAAAGTTGGGTTTCCCATAGATAACTATGTATCCTGACCTCGTTTTGCAACCAGAGATGCCACCCCCTGCTGGCCACTAAAAAGACTGCCTCTACATCACATTCTTTTTCATATACAGTTAGAGTTGCATTTCTGACCACCTGATGAGTGTAAGCCTGCTATTCACTGTCCTTTTAGCTCAGTTTTGTTCTCCACTGACTCCAAAAAAATCAGTTTCTTTAGCTTCAAAATGCTTTGTCTAACAGTTGGTCACTATTCGAGAATCAAGACCCCAGATTACTGAGAGGATTTGTATAGTCAGATTCTCATTGCACACAGATCTTCAATTACTTAATTTGGTTTTACTAAAATAAGGTTGCCTTCATGTCATACATTGTTATGCACTGAGCACTTCTTCTCCACTCTCTTCTTTTCACTCCCCATGTGTTTATATACCGCTGCAGCAGCATTAAATTCATCACATTTGTGTCTTCTCTCTCCCTTAGTCTGTGTTTTGTCTCCCTATGCTCTCTTTTTCTTTTTGCTTCTGTTTCTTCTCTTCTCTTTCCCTTCACAACCCCCACCCATCAAGGCAGATGGCTGCCCCTCCCTATGCCTGGTTCTGCTGGAGGTTTTCTTCCTGTTAAAAGGGAGTTTTTCCTTCCTACCACAAAGTGCTCGCTCACAGGCAGGTCACTTGATTGCTGGGGTTTTCTGCAGAATTCTGTAGGGTACCGTGTAAAGCACCTTGAGGCGACTGTTGTTGTGTGATTTGGCACTATATATATGCTCTGCAGCAGCACCACTCTGATCAATTTTTTTGTTTAAACTAACCCTCCAGGATTTGTTCTGGATCTTGGATCTATGTCTGGGTCTCACTGCTCCCTCTCTCTCACTGGCTGTATTTTCAGGTCAAGCAGGGGAGACGTGGATTCACTGCATGTACATCAGTAACGACAGCTGTCGCAACAGCTATCGCTTTCAGACCAGCTCGAAGTCTGGTCAGGCTCAGCTTCTTATTAGCACAAGACCAGGTATGAAGTCAAAACTCACACAGACACGCTTTAACTTGGGGTCCATTGATACCTCTGCTGCACTAGTGCACCCTGGTGTATTTGAGTCAGCAAGCCTGCTGTCAGTGTTACAGCTGTAATTTAGATTTCCCCTCAGTTTCCATCTCACTTTATGGATTTTTTCTTTTCAATCATCCACAAACACACACACACACACACACCTCCTCACGCACAAACACGTACACACAAACACACAATTTTAAACCTCACAGTTCACATTTGCCCTCAGTCTCGCACACATTATTATTGCACATCTAAGTGTTACAGATCACCCCGCCACCCTTACACCCCACCCTTTTCCAATTTTTGGAACAGCACTGCTCATTGTGCATCTCCCCCCCATCTCCCCCTATCCCCTCAAGCTTCCCTCCAACCACCCCCCCACCCCCCACACCCAACGGGACACTCTCTTCCTGCTCACACCCACTCCTCCCGGGTGCAGCAGGAGCCAGGTCTCTATGGTAACTCTGTTACAAAATGTCAGAGCAATCTTTGGGCTCTTTGTGTCGAGCAATCAGCCCGTCATCCACACATGCTCCCCAGCAGATACACAGCCAGCTGACTGTTCAGTACCGCAATAGTGGTACAGCTGCCGCCGAGCGAGCTCTGTGTGTGTGTGTGTCATATGTCATTTAAATGAGTAGCTCTGCTTTGTACTGCCTTTTTGTCTCCCCTGTTTTTCAGTGGACAGTCTCTTTCCTCTTTTAGTAACTTTTATTCAAATTCATTCATGCAAGTCCAACGTTTACATCCAAAACATACCATACCCAGCCTACACCTGGGTTTAGAGCCACTGAAATATACCTGATTAGCTCTTCACAGTTTCATATTGCTGAATCTGTACTTTTAGTTTTATTTAATCTGTACTTTCATGTTGCTCAAAGATGATTTTGATCAAAAATACTCCAAACTTTTGTCCCCATCAGTGAACAATACAATGTTAAAGCTCTGCACAGTAAAACTGAGTGTGTTTATGTGTATGTGTCTACAGACTGTGTCAGCAGCAGCCTTCGGCTGGTGAGAACTTTCTTGAGCGTGTGCGCCCTGACCGTGTTGTGCGGGCTGGTGGTTGTGGCCGTGTCCCGGCTGTTGCTGCAGAAGAGGCGGTGGTCACCAGGGGGCACTGTTGAAGATGCAGGGTACCATTGCACTGGAAAGGTTAGCTCTCTGATATCCTTGAGGAATTTCTCAGTGCTGTCTGATTTTAAATGAGAGCCAAAGTGTCCCTGGAGCCCTGAGCAGCAAAGGTTCATTAGGATATTTATGTGAAGTAGTACCGGCAGCTGAAACCAGCAGTGAGGAATGTGAGTGTGCTCTTAGAGGTACAGCTGTGTTTTACATTTCCTCCCAACTCCCAGCTCAGCATCTACAGTTTCCAGCTTTCTGACCTTATAATGACATACAGCACTTTGGAGAAGAGGAAGATGGGAATTTCTTAGCAATGGTTACTGGTTAGGGGTGGCGAGGGTGGTTCCTGTTTATGGCACTGCTGCAGATCATCTTAATGATACTGACGATTGTGGATTGTGTTTAAGAATCAGGACCATTTGTCTGGTTAACATTTACAGTTCTTCACTGATTTTTTTTATGTCATTTTACTGTCAGGGGGAAGTTTTGCTTTTGAGTAACAAAGACTTACTCTCCACTTCTCAGTCATGGGAAAGGCCACATAGACTTTGAGTTTACCTGCCTAATATCCACCAAGGGTTAAGTTTAGCATGTTTAGCCACATGCTGAACTTTCAGTAAATAGGGGACGCATTTAGATTTCAAATAAAGCCACAGAGTTTCTGTTAAAAGCTTTTCCACGTGGGTGTTTGAAGCAGGTGAAAATGCTATAAAAAGGGGAGGACATTAACCAAACCCAGTGACCTGGTGGCTGTTAAGAGGTTAAGATCCTCTGTGTACCTGTAAAGGCTCCAGAAGGACTGTGAAAATGACCCTTAACTCATAATCTTGGCTTTACCAACAAAGCTTTACCAGAAATAAATCACAATTAAACAGACTAACACTTTGAGTTCTCCACTAATATGAACACTCACAAGCTGTAACCACGGAAACATCTGTCACACATGACATGTAGGAGTCATGTGGGGGGGGAAAAGGCAACTTGTAAAGCATTATGGGAACCGTAGTATGTAGTATTTTGGACTAATAGTGAAGAAGTCTTCTGAAGTGAGCATCTGTGTTCATCTCAGACTCCAATATTACTGACTGCATATTTCTGTTGCCCCCTCCCCTTCCCCACCAGGATCTGTCATACATTCCTACAACCAATGAGAAGACTGTCACCTACAGGAGGGACCATCCACCCGATCGCCCTGTGGAAATGCACATTCAGGTTCCTAAGATGCCCCTGGGTGACCCCTGGCAATAAAAGGTCATAACAAAGGCAGTAGAGACATATAGAAGCAAAGCTGGACTCAAGGCTTCTTTTCTGCCTCCTAACCTTCATAAAACTTCAACCAGCGGTACGTAGTACGTAGAGACTCAAGCGAAGTAAACTATGAAACCTCCACGGGATTTTATTTGTTAATCGAACTGACCAAACTTTTATTGACTGTGTGACTGACGCGGCCAGTATCCTGGGAATCCTGGAGATGAAGACGAAGAGCACAAATTCCCCACCTCTTCTCCTCCTTTTGTAGGAGCAGGGAAGCTACTTCACCTTTACAGGGTGAAAGTTGATCACTCCGCGCTTTTTAGCCATGCACTACTCTAGCATGAGTAAGTGTGCATGTGTGAGTGTGCATGTGTGAGTGTGTGTGGTGCAGGTGCACATATGCTTTCTATTTATTTGATAGTGACAACACTACATATTAATAAAAAAAAAAGAATCATGTGACTGTGCCAGACTACAATAATCCGACAGTACTGTCTCCCTGTCTTAGTCTGCCCCCATGTGGTCAGTGTAATGTACGACATTTTCTTTCAAATAACACACATTACTGACCTCAGCTGTGTTGCCTTGCATACACCAAGTGACTAAGCAGCTTGCTTTTATTTTATTGCGATTACATTTTAGTCACGCATGGCGAATCTTGTCGTTTAATGTTTTTATTTCTGTTAACATCGGCTGCATTGCAAATTAGTGTTATATCATGGCATTGTGTAATGACAAGCAAGAATACTTTCATTTGATTGTCTTTTGTTAATAATCTGGTTAGACTTGCACTAGAACAATTGCATTTTACTACTGAAAAGTGTGGGATCTCTAGGCATTAAAGGTACCTAAGTGTGTTTAAAGCTAATTCACTGGAGGAGTGGATTAGCTCCACTGGAACACTGGAATGACAATGGATATAGATTTATATTTTACATACTGACATAATGGCAGTTGTATCATCAAAAGCCTGAGAATGTGAACTCTGTATCAGAATAATGTCTGCATTTACCTGCTGTTTCACAAGTATAGACTAATACACAAATCTGTTCCAAAGGTACTGAGATCAGAGGTGTAACTTCACTCTTCAGCAAATTTAAAGGATTAGATCCTCTGAAACCAGAGTGCCAGTTTCGTGACTTGTTGAGAGACTTTGCTTGCCCACTCCTGTTCCTCTTTTTTTTTTTAACATGTTGTTTACAGCATTAGCTGCTCTGTTTTACTGTAACCTCGGAACACTAATGAATATTTATTATGATTCTATTATATTTTTTATGTTTATTTGATTTGTTATGCTATATTTGAGTAGCGGTAAATAGGTAGTGAATACTGTGAGCTGTCTCTGTTTCTAAAACTGAAATGAATTCAGCAATAAGGTATTAATCATCTCATCTTACCGGGCATTATGTTCGGAGTGACAACAGCACTTTCTCTGTAGTTTTGCTGTCGATTAATGTGTAGCATGACTGTTTTCATTCCAATAAAAATGTGCAAGAGTTTTTAAACTGTTTCTTGAACTGTGTTTTATTAATTTATAGTTATTCTATTTAGTTGTATTTATTTAGGCCCTGTGGCCCAAAATTTCATGTACATTATTTTTTTTTTAATGAAAAATAGGCAAAAACTTTTTTAATATTCAACCATGACAGTCCTTGAAGACCTACACCAGAATTGAAGCATGTATACAACTCACTACACGTTTTTAATATCTGTTTGTTTAAATATATTTGTGTAGATGTGCCAAAGATTTTTACATTTTAATTTATTTTATTGGTGCAACAAAAGATTGCTGCATAACCAGGACCTGCATTCAATATTACAGTCCAAGCCCATGTGATCCAAGCAGCTGCTGACTGCATAAACTGAACACTAGGTGGAGATCTCCACCTACACAACTGTGTTTAAAGCTCACTGTGAGTATTCACTCCAAGTCTCCTACTCTTTACAGCATTTTTTAATAGCAACGTCTTTTCATCATTGAAACAAAAAACTTAAAGCAGATTTTTCCCCCCCATAAAGCAGCAGCTGACGTCACTGACTACAGAACTCTTTGTATCTAAAGGTGCAGATGTGCCTACTTAAATAGAATAAAATTGTTAAATTAAAAAAAATAGAATTGTTATGTATGTAGTTTTTTATGGTTTTATATATAATCACTGCAAACTGAAAACTAAGACTTTGTTTCTGAGGCAAATTGTAATATACAACAAAACTTAGATTATTGCATGTGAATAGTTGTTTTGTTTGTTTTTAATTGAAAATTGCCCCATTTATTAATCCCAGTGCAACACAGACTTTCAAACACGAGTAAATTATAGAAATGTAGTCACTCAAACTTTTTTTATAATTTATATATTTAATTACTATAATAATGAAGTAAAAGGGGATTATGAAAGGCTCGTTTTTCTTCCTTTTTTATATTTAAAAAAAGAGAATAAATTAGGCAATAGAGAAATTAAAAAAGAAAACAAAAACTAAACGACAGATGAGTAAAAGATTTTTCATAGAAAGGTACAAATAACAGATGAGGTATAAGCAGAGTGATCCATAAAGTGCTGTTTCAGTTCTTTAGAGTCCACGGCACGCTGTAAAGCAAACAACCCACGTGTGGATTCATCGGGTTCAGCTCTGTGGATTATTGCACCGCTCTCTGTCCCTCGGTGCTGTGCAGTCTCAGTCCAGGGCTCGGGCTGCCGCTATTGTCCGTGTCGCTGGTGCCCTTCGTGAGCCCCGGCTCCCCGCCGTCCTCCGGGCTGTGTGTCCTTGCGTGCTTGCTGAGATGGTCAGAGCGCATGAATCGTTTGTGGCAGAGGGGGCACTCGAATCGCTTCTCCCCGGTGTGTGTGCGCAGGTGCCGCTGGAGCTCGTCAGAGCGCGTAAAGCGTTTCCCGCAGAAAAGCCAGTTGCAGACAAACGGCCTCTCCCCGGTGTGCCAGCGCAGGTGGGCCTTCAGGTGCGAAGTTTTGCCGTAAACTTTACCACAACCTGGGATGTGGCAGCTGTGCAAGCCCCTCCGCCGGGGACTCGTGCGCCCTTGGCCGAGGCTCTCCGCCTCTTGGCAGTTTGGACAGTCACAAGTGGTTCTACCGGAGTAGCGCCGTGAGGAGGAGCGGGAGGATGGGGGCAAAGAAACGACTGGGGAACCTGTGAGAGGAGGTGCCGCCGTGACCGGAGGCTCTGTATAGGCTGCGTGAACAGGTGGTCTGAAGCCGTCGAAGAGATGTTGCGCCGCGGGGAGCAGGTGCTGAGAGGCACCAGGGCTGAAGTTAGAGCTGTAGTCACTGGTGTAGCTGCTCAAAGGAGAGGGTAACCCGACTGTGTTCTGTGCGTCCACCCAGCTGCTGCCCATATCCCACCAGGCAGGAGGCCCGTTACCAGTATCCCCCACGGGTTTGAACCATGGATCATAGGGATGTGCATGCATCCTTGGATATATCCCGGCTATGCTTTCTACCGAGGAGGGAAATTTGGTCAGAAGCACGGGCCGCTGTGCGTGTGCGGAATTGGGAACGCAGTTGTCCGGTGGCACAGCGGGCTGGTACATCGAAAAATCATTCCCTAAAGAAGAAGTAGCAGCTGTCACAGTGAAAGCGCTAGAGGCGTCATTCAGTCCGGTCCTGCTACTCCTGGAGGTCCCAGAAGAAACCCCAAACGATGTGAGGCAGGTACCCAAGTTGCTGGTGACTTGCGAGCTCCTTCTCCACGGATGGAACCCTTTGACGGGTCCGGGGGCTCCCTCGGAAACAGTAGGGGAGCACGAGGGGCTGGGCTCCCCAATCCTGCTGCAGGTTTCGGCCAGCATGGCCAGCGGGGTGCTGCCCAACCGTGGCTCCTCCTGCGGGAACACAAAGCACGCACTTAGAGCCAGCACGCCACTGAAACCATGTGCGCAAAACACGCGTAAAATGAAGCATGTAAATCAAATGAGTTGGACACAGTCTGCAAAACACAAATGAAGCTTACATTGTTGTCTTTTTTTTAACTTAACCAGCAAAATCACAGCAGGTGGGATAACTTAGTAACGTATAAAACTTTAACTATGGTGGGCAAATAATCTTTAAAAAAATCGCTTAACTTTTCCATTAGACGTAGCAACTCGCCATCAATAGCGCAAGCTGTGAAAGCTAAAAATGTAGATGGGAAAAGAACTAAAGCTCGGTTAATTTAAATAACGATACTTTTATTATAAACAGCGGCATTTAAACGAGATAAAGGAAATAAAATAAATATTAACCGAATAAGCAAATGTACAGACCCTTTTAAGAATTTGCTTTTGCCAAAAAATTAAAATTAAAATAAAAAAATATTCAGAGAAAAACAAAAGTTGCGTCGAAATGCAAACTCACCCCAAGCAGTGTGGCAGCCATGGACTCCGTGCAGTGATATCTTCTGCTGTCAGTGTCTGTGTGTGCTCTCGGTAGCTTGCGTGATCGGTCTGTTTTCCTCTCTGACTGCTTTGGTAGTAGTTGTATCTTCCCCGTGGCTTTGAAGTGGCGCTAAGCATCCGCTGGCCAATCAGACATCAGCTGTCATCGTCTCCAAACATTCGTGCTCGGGGTCGTCATAAATTTCAAACGTTGTAAGCGAGTATAGTTTCAAAGTAAGAGTGAGAGAATAGTTTAAAGTTTAAGGCATGAAATTCAAAAGGAGACACTGAAGCAACAGATGAGTGCGCAGAAACGTTCTTCCTTCTCACCACTTGGTCAAAATACACGTCATAACGCCACAAAAAGTGGCAGTGAATAGTTCCGTGACTGATTTAAGGCATTTCCTCATTAGGTTAATAAAAATGTAGCAGCAGTAATGCCATTTAGTTTCACGTGTATTTATATTTGATGCTCCATGTATTTCGTTACTGGACTTCGAACAGCGCAAGGCTCCATGATAAGGCAAAGTAGGCAAATTGCAGCTAAAATCCCCCAAACCTATTCACTGCCAGTTGAATTTAAAGCTGTGTTAAGGTGAAGTTACCCCTTAATTTAGCAATAAAAAGGCAACATTTAATAAACTAAAAAGCAACTATGATGGCATAAGGGGATTTTGTGCCATCGGCCAAGAAAGATAATGCGTGCTAGTAAACACAATAAAATACACAAGGGAAGCTTTCTGTGCATGTAAAACACCAAAGCGCAGTTTTGTTTTACTTATGTTGTGAGTTCACTCAGAGGGAAAGGCTGATGAATGGGAGGCTGGTCAGGTCCGTCCCATCCTGTCCCTGGGGCGTATCCAGTCAGCCCTGGGGGAGGGAAAGGAGGATACCATCACTGCCTCTACAATTTCATCTTATTCAACACAAAACAAATTACTTTTTAAAATAAAGCACCTCTTTCTGTTCTTTTCCCTAATTTTATAACTCATTTAGACACTTGGCTAAGCTCAGACTAACAGTGGGAGGAAGTAACTTTTATTATTTGAATAGATAGTCCTACACTTAAATCAGGCATGTTTAACCTTTGTGATGACACAAGCACCCTAGAAATAACCTAATGTAAGAGCAAAGGCACTTATATTTCATTTGAATTTCAAATGTAATAAAACAGCAGGATTCAAGCTACTTTCTTCATTTGCTTGATATACTGCTTTCCTGCCCTTACCTCATCGCTTTGACTATCCTAAATGAAGTCAGCTCCACACTCACAGAAAAGTTAATCACATCTCACAGTTTAAATCAAGTGGCTGCTAGTGTGCATAATTATTTTTGGTGTTGCAATGCAAAGTCCGATATATCATTTTAGCTTAGATTTCATGTACACTTAAAAATGTTAAGGCAGATGTTTGTTGTTTGTTTCTTGAAGGAAATTATTCAGCATATCCTTGATGGTTTAAACACACCAAGATACTAATATCTCAAACATATGATGTACAATGGATTGACTTACTTGACCAGTGGCTAGATTAGTAGTTTATAGGCCTAACAACTATTCTCCAGGAAAATAACAAATACATTGTTGGTCTGCTGTACTTGCACCTTTTTGTAAAATGTAGAGAAGCTAGACAAGCAGCTGCAAAGCCTTTTTCATTTTAAGTAAGTAAGGATGGCATGGTGCATCAGCTTAGATTAGAGGGGTACTTTACCCCAAAACCAAATTAAAATGTAATTTAATTTAAATTTAATTTAAAATTAAATTAAATAATGATACTTCCTACAGTCAGTTTAGTTCTTCTGTAAATTGAACCAGGTGGCTTTTGTATGGAAGAATTTTTGTGCCACCAAAAAAGAGAAAAAAAGTGAAGAAATTGAATTTCAAAATTTCAATTTAATATCTTAAAATTTTGACTTGTCCAGCAGAAACTAAAAATTTCAAGTAATTTAACAATTTCATATCCCAAATTAAATTTTTGACATAATAACCCAGAATGTTGTTTTGTTTTCTTTTTTCTTTTTTCTTTCTTGCATACATTTTCTTTGTTGTATTTAAAATAAATTTGAGTGAGGTCAATGTTTTTAGATCTTATCTCCCTGGAAGAGCTGCATAAACACTGGAGGTGATTCACAGAGACCAAAGATAGTGAATGATTTCGTGAAGCAACTATGAACGAAATAACTGCTGACGATGTGAAGTGGGCGGGACCTGTAATAAACTTTTGGGCAGGCGACTGAAGTGACTACCAATGAGACTGAAGAATGCCGTTGACTGACATAAAACCACCTATAGGGTTACCTAGGAAACTATAACCTGCCAGTCCAAATGACCAGCTGTCAGTTTCAGAGAGAAATATGTAACAAACAAAAAGCATTCAGTATGTACGGTTTAAGGGGCGTGGCTATGTTGACTGACAGGTGTCCCAGTACAGGCAGCTGGCTCAGTGTGCACTAGGCCGACCAACCTTTGTTTGTGCTGCTGCTGTCTTTTTGAGCTTTATATCTGTCATCTCAAAAATATATATATGCTTTAGTTTTGAGTGAAACTGTAGCTCTTTATTAGCACTAATTCGCCGATATGTGTGTTTGTGAGCTGCACCCATACAGTTTGAGAATGTAACGTGCTAAACAAGCTAGCTAGCATTAGTTGTTAAAGGGGAATTCCACACTTTCATTCATCTAATGCAACTTCTCAATCCAGGAAACCAAAAACAAAACAGTGACTGCCATGTTGAAGCTTCAAAATGCAAAATCTAAAAGCAGTGGGTGCCACCGTGATGTCTTTGGTTCTCTTTCATACCGTCTACACTTTACACTGAGTTGTTTCTACAATTTCTTAGTTCAGCTTGTTTTGCAGCTATTGCTAAATCCACTGTGCTGTGGTGGACAATGTCACAGCTTTCAACTTAAAATTGGCTTCATAAACTTGATATGCTGGATTAGCTTCAAATGAATATTTGCTTACTCTACTTTGAAATGAAACCCAGAAAATAATTTAGAAGTTGGGCTTCATAGCTGTAAAATTTTGGATTTGGGTATTTTAGTTATTACAGCGAAATCACAAAAACACACACCTCTCAGCAGACTGGATGAAATGAGAGGCTCTGCTTTCCCCCACAGCCTCGGGCAAGGCCGTATGCACAGGTGGAGTTTACAGTGGGCCATCTTCCCCTAAACCTAATCGCCATCTTCACAAGCCACCCAAACAGCTGTCCCTCTTTTCGAAGCATTCTTTTCCCACACTGAGAGTGTGTGCGTGTTTTTGTATGTGTGTGCTTTAAAGGCCCCCAGTGAAACCCTGTCTGAGCCTCAACCTGCTCCTTTAGCCACGATAATGACCGCATTATCACGCGCCATCGAACGTCAACAAAAAAAGATTGTCGTGTGCTTTCCAATCACTTTGTGGGCACTGAGACAGAAAGAGCTGGGAGAAAAGAGTGAAATAAAGATCTGGCACTTCTCTGGGAGAGGGGTGGGTGAAGTATTTTATTTCTCCTTGCTTTTTCTTCCCCATCTCCTCCTTTTGTAGGTTGGAGCATAGTCAGGAGTGATCCAGAGGGCAGGCCAGCCATCTTGGTCAGCTGCCCTGCTGAGACAATTAGCGGGAGAATCACAGAGTCAAACGACAAAGCTGCTAAACATGACAAAAAAATATTCATTGTAACCAGGGGGTAGCCACTCAATTTTAGTTAAAAAAAAGAAAAAAAAGAAGAAGAAGCATAGGTTCCAGATCTTGCGACAATCAATGTGAGGACACACATTAAGACGTTAAAATAAAATAAACTTTCTTTTCTAAAGTGCAGGAAAAGTCATCCAGGTGAGCTGTGCGCCAGGATGTGCCTGAAGCAGCTCCTCCTTGGCTTCCTGTAATTACTCCACTGAGAGGGCACGTCCGCAGCCTGTCTGTCAGCACGGAGCTGATGGACGACTGTAGCAGCAGAGTCAGGGAAATTAGTTTGAGTTGTTGTGATGAAATCATAAGATTCACCCCTCTTTTTTTTTTTTTTAAGAAAAAACCATCCCATAAAGAATCAGTACATAGTGAAATCTCTTCGACTCATTTACCCTTTGTATGCTTTTAATCTCTCACATAGCGTATAGCAGCTTATTGAAATTCTAACGCTTATAAATGATACAATAGCAAGAAAAGATAAATATAAGGTCATCAGAGGAGGACATCTTAAAAAGTCCAGTGCTTTAGTGTAATGGAAAGCAAGCGTGGAGAGGACTGGTTTCCATTGGTTTCATAGATTATCCCTTTGGTTAGTGGATACAGTGACAATAAGCTGCCCTGAAATCTGTAGAAGTTTACCCTCATTTTTCTGTCGCTCTCACGCACATACAGGGGTCAGAGAGGGCATCTCTCATCAGCCCGTGCAGCAGATTGAGGGAATCCAGGCCAATGTAATTACACTGTTGAACGGCTTCATTCGCATTCATGTATACAGCGCATATACATACACCAGCAGACAAACCCATTCATGAAATTAGAAAAAAAAAAAGAGGAGGAGGGAGGATTTGTCAGTGAGGAGAGAAAGGTTGGGAGGATGAGTGTGTAGACACCTCTGCCGAGTTTGTTTGGCTCAAGTTTTGGGATGAAGGTGAATTGAAATTGCACTTTATGAGCACTCTCTTTCCTCTCTTTATTCCGCACACACACAGACACACACACACACGCTGAGAGTTAGTGTTGATGGATGCTCGGGGTTTGTTAAGTCGTACATCACAGAGGTCATTTAACCTGCCAACACATCTGCTGTCTCTGCCCTCAGAAAGACAGGAAGAGGTGGAGTGAGAAGAAAGATTTATAAAGGTGGGGAGGAGAATTATGCAGGGTGTGAGAGAATGAGACTGTGATTAGTAACTGGAGTGGATGAAAAGCTCTCATTCAGTCTCACTCGGAGTTTCACTCACACACACACACACACACACACACACACACACACACACACACACACATGCATGTTGTGCTGAAAGTGGTATCTTTTCAACAAGCGTCTTCACTAAAGCTGCTTGCGTTATGAGTTTCTCTGCTCCTCCATCAACTTTCGTCTCGTTTCTGTTAACTACTCCCAGTAAAGCTGCTGATTTATGCCGAGGAGCTGTTCTGTGCACCGAGATATTAATGAGATGCTTCTGGAGGAGGAGTCTTCATTGATTTTTCTCAGAAGTCGTTGATGTTTGTGATGAAAGGGAGTGTGTACGCTGATTGCAGGTCACTGCTTGTATACACTCTTGCTGCGCTCTGTTAACGTAGCTTAAACCTCATGGAGAGACCTCCGCCTTGTCTTCACATCATCTCAGTGTACATAACCCAAGTGTCACCTCAGGTTTGCAACTTTTAATATTAAAGTATTAAAAAAAACCCAACTACTGGTCTACCAATTAACTGTGCTAGGAATTGACTATAAATAAATAGATTTTTATAAATATTTTGAATGGTGATGCAGCGATTTCTAGAAAGTAAATAGTAAGTAGAAGTAATTGTTTCATATTTTACTTTCTTTGTTTTTTCTCAGGCCATCTTTTACCACTGCTGCTAATTAAATGACAGTTTTTAAAGGTTTGGAAAGGCTAACTTTACGGTACTGCAATTGTGTCTACAGCAAGCCCACAGATTAGTGCTGTCAACCACTCCTTTAAGATCCCAGCTGCATGTTGCTCGACATCTGTCGGTCAAATGCTGATTGGTTGACAGTGACCGGAACCGGGTAGGGAGCGATAGTGGAGCTCACAAGGAATGGGAAAAGCATGAAAACATAAAACAGTGAGTGCAGTGGACACTTTTCATTGTTTGTAACACTAGGTTTCACTTCAGCTCTTTTGTATGGCTGGCTGATGGACCAACTACAGCACCATCAAGCCCACAAAGTGGTGGTACCACATGTTTTTGACACTGTCGCCATCTGACAAACAGCTGTACCATAATTTCCCCTTTAGTTCTTAAGATAGTAAAGATCTGAGTTAAAATAAATAGTTTTATTGTCATGGCTCAAGTTATCATCTACACTGAGCTTCACTTTATTTTATGGACAGATTTTGTTGTCTCGTGTGACTTTCAGCGGATTCTCAACAATAACATGGAACTGTGGGCCACAGTGAAGGGTCAACCTCTGGGGCTAAGAAAATGGATCCAACTGCAGTTTGTCAAATGACTGCTTTAACTGGCTCTAAACGTGATTCAGTCTCCATAGACTCTTATGTTTAAATGCCCAAAATCTATAGCAGAAATAAATATGTTTACAGTTTGATATAAAAACACTGATTGTTTCTACAGATAATTTCCCCTTCATAGCAAATACAAGAGGGTTTAATAGGGTTTGCATAACTTATTTAAATCCTACAATGGCTTAAAGTTATGCAGAGTTAAGTTTTTGCTCAGTGTGTGGTGTACATGAAATCACATTTTGACAGGGAAATAACTACCAAAATGATGCACATTGCTAACCAGTGCTAGCATTAGCAGATAACTCTATATCTTCTATAGCCTCTCCCTCCTCATCTGTATGAGACAGCTAAGATGCAGTACAAGTGCTGTATTGTACTAAAAGACCATCAAAGCAGTCACCTGCTGAGTTTGTTTGGTAAGTAAATTTTTCATTTAGTAAAAAGCACAAAAAACCAACAGGACAAAGCAAAGATGAAAAACAGCCAAAATTGCCACAGTGATTCTACCTTAGAACCATAAACAGATAAAAACAGAGGCTGCAGGCTGACTGCTCATAAGTTTGTTACCTGTTGAAGTTCAGGGTCTGGCTGCTGGGCTGGGGTCAGCATTCACTCAGCTTAAAGAGTTCTTGGCTAGCTTTGTGTTAGCAACAGAGGAGGAAGGAGGATTTGTCTGTCAAAACATTGGCAGATTGAGTTTTACCAACTTCATATTGACATTGTCTTATTGGGAAAAAGTTATTTTACGACTACTACTGCTGGAACAAAGTCAACTTTAATTAGTTGTCACACCCAGCTCCAAAATCTGACTTCAGAACTAACAGGAAGCATATCTCCCAAACACTACCCTGAAGTGTTTGATATCATAAGCTTCAAACACGTGTATCACCATTCTGCAAATGGTGTTGAAGTTTTTTTTATCAGCATGTAGTGATAAGGTAGCAAAAACCTAAAACAATCAGCAAACAAGATTTTGTCTTTATTGACTCAGGTTTGCTGTTACTATCTGTTTCCTGTGGCATTCAACAATCAGAAAACCAACATTTTTGGTTACACGTGAAGTAATAATGCTGGGTTTCAAAGTGGAAGGAAGACAAACAGAAGAGCAGAAGAACTAGATGAAGATATAAAAACAAAAAAGCCACACATGTCACATGTCTGAGTTAAGATGCCGCAGTGTTTGTCCTGAAGCCAGCCTTGTTCTCCAAACTCAACCACTGAGGAGCACTTGGACAAACTCGTTCTCCTTGATTAAATCCCGCTCTGACCGTGATTTTGGTTCTCTTCACCAATAACTCTGTTCATTCCTCTTCTTGCTCTTCACCACCGCACAGACACTCCTCAGACAAGAAGATTAATTTACTCATGTTCATTTTTCAGGTTTTTGTGTCTTCTCTGTGTTTAATGTATGTGCGTCCATTGATTGATGAGCTGAAGCCCAGGAGCATAATCATACACTTCCAGACGTCATTTTTCACTTTCAGTCTTGATGGATGGACTTGATGCGTCTGATCGCTGCTACCTCAGCGTGGGGGGTCTAGGTCATCTTGTGTGTGTGTGTCCTGTTGGCTAGCAGTCCATCTGTCTGTCTGATGGAAGTAGTGATTGAGTAGACACCCACATCAGCATTAGAAGGCTTGTTTGTGAGGTTTTTTCCTCCCATCCTCACCTGGACGACTACCGCTCGCAGCAGCTAACTTTCAGAGAATTTAAGTTTACATTTTTGCTAAAGCGAAGACCATCAGCCAGGTTTATTGTGATTTATAATTTTTTTAGCTTTTGAACATGATATATATATTTTGTTATTGTGTCTTCTTGTATAATCAGTGCAGATCTGAGCTCTATAAATCTGGAAACCTTAATTAAATACATTTACGAGTTTACGGCACCTATCTTAGTCTTCTTCTTATTCTTAATCAATGACTCAATGAGCTTAATACAAGGCATCCTAAATTATTTTGATCAAGTGTCATCAAAAAAGCAAAAGGAAGTCTCATGGAAAACTCTAGGATATGGATATCTGCTGCTACTGATGCTTATGAGCACTCTGACTCCTCTAAGCATTCATATGTTTCTCTAGCACTTCTTCATGTGAAGTGATATTTTGGACATTTAAAAGTTTGACTCTTTTAAGTTTTCAGTTTAATTAAGATTTCAGTACTTAGATAGAATTATACATAGGGATGGGTATCGTTTAGGTTTTATCTGATACCGGTGCGAAACCGGTACTTTTGAAATGGTGCCGGTGCTTAAACGGTGCTCAAACCGGTGCTTAAAGAATGGAGAACACAAAATTGTCCAAAAACCTCTCATGTTCAGCTGTTTTTGTAAAAAGATAACAATGTTAGCCTTTTCTGCAGCTATGGGCATATATGGCATCACTCTTGGCTGGAAGCAGTGCTTAAACAATGGA